ACGGACATATGTCGATCATAATCAAGAAAGTATATATTATGTTGTATGTCCACCCACAAAGCCAAGACACCGGTTACTATGTTGGAACGATTGCCATCATGATCACTAAATATCTGTTTGTCTTAGTGAGGCGTGGTAAAATGTGGTTATGTGAATTAAATGATCAAATCTGCATATAAGGATGTTTTTACTTGGACTGTTTTCACTCTCAGATCAGACCAGACAAGACCAGATAAGATCAGATCAGACCAGTTCAGATAAGACAAGACCAGACATGGATAGTTATAAAAATATAAAGAGACCAGCCATTACTAGACCAGACCAAGCTAGTTCAAACCGGACCAGATCAGTTCAGACCAGACTAAACCAGCAAATTACAGTCCAAGTAAAAACATCGTAAATCCACGCGCGTGAAGTCGTGAACATGCGGGGGTGGATCTACAATTATGTTCAAAGTGCGTGATTTTTGGGGTGATTTCCCAAAATACGGGAAAGGCTAACATCGGTTGCTAGTGGGAGTCGGATTTCACTCGACCCAGTAAGGACTCAATCATCTGAAGGTTATGCCATCAGCCTATATCGTGAACACGAGTTATGAAATTGATCACGAGTTACTTAATATATAGATGGAATTTTAATATTCACAATTGTGATTCACGTTTTTTAGACTCGGATCATAAAAACCCCAATTCGACCCAGTAAGGACACAATCATCCGATGTTTATGCAATCAGCCTATATCATGAACACGAGTTATGAAATTGACCACGAGTTTCTTAATATACAGATAGAATTTTAATATTCACACTTTTGATTCACATTTTAAGCCCCAGATCATAAAAAATCCAATTCGACCCAGTAAGGATACAATCATGTGAAATGTAATCGGCCTATATCATGAACATGAGTTATAAAATTGACAAGGAGTTTTAATATTCGCACGGGTGTACAAAATCGAATTTGTATTTCATTTTATGAATTTAATTCACAATACGGATGGATTAATAAATAAAATAAAGTAACCAATATTTTGATATTAAAAAATCAAACTCCATACTATTCATTTTAAAATATAAATTCGAAATTCCTAAATTCGAATTTTAACTCAAATTATAAATTCCTAATTTCGAAATTTGTATTATAATAATTAATTAACACAAAAATAATAAGGGTATGATGCATAGTAAGTAATCTGATGCTTCGATATAATGGGAATATTTGATGGAGAACACAAATCCCTTCAATTTCCTATTGTGTGTTTGTGTAAAAAAATTGTATACAATCCAATTTATATAATTAAATGGAAATGGGATCTATTTATTAAAAAAAAAGAATTACTCCTGTCGGATTTGCCATTTCCGACTATAGGGAGTATGTTTGTATTGTAATGGGATTTTACCATTCCTTTATTATACTAAAATAAAGGAAAACAATAAAAATTAGTTAGAAATACCCTAGTCGGATTCTCCAATTCCGACTAGGTGTTTATTTTGTTTATTTCGAGTTCCTTCTCCTATCGGAAGAGGTAAATCCGACTCCCGTATTTTAGTAACCTAATTGCAACTCCCGCTTTTTGTATTGTCAAACAAAAAAGTCCCGTTTTTTGGTAAATTCCTCTATTTTGATGACCGGCCTAGAGTTTTTATTAGTATACAAACAATTTCTTTTTATTGACATAGGTGCTTGAGCAGTTGAGCTTGACTGGTAGTATGCATGCTTTTCTACACCCATTTCTTTACCACCCCAAACACATTTCTCACGCGGCCGGAGTCGTATGCTTTTGGTTTCACACAAACACTTTACGTTTTGAGGATACATCATTAACGCTCACTCCCTCACGTTATACTTAAGGAGATAAGAGTAAGATAGGTCCTTGAAATTGCATAACAAAAAAGTAAAATAAGTCCTTACTATCAGGACGTCGCCATTTGGGAAGGTTTCCAGTGAAATTTTTTGATGAAATTTTTTGAGCATCTTATTCATTAAGTTTAGTTTTCTCATATCAAATTTCACCTAAAACTTCAATCGGGAAAGCATTCAAATGAATTTTTGAAGGTAACTGCGCAGTTATCTTCAAACATCATTTGAATGTCTTCCCAATTGAAGTTTTAGCTGAAATTTGGTATGAGTAAACTAGACTTAATGAATAAGATCTCAAAATTTTCATCAAAAAATTTCACTGGGAACCTCCCTGAATGGCGATGGCCGGACAGAGCCTCCTATATAAGGACTTATTTGACCCTTTTTATGCAACTTCGATGATCAATTTGACCCTTATCTCTATATTTAAGGTCTTAACGTTAATTCTAGGATATAAATTAAATAAAAGTACTTAACATGCATGCAATGAGTGAAATATAATATAAAATATATATTTAAATTGGAGTATAATCTTTTTGTTTCTCGAAACAGGACTAATACCCTAAATTAATTGGGGAGTTCTACGGTGCACCCGTTAATTTGATTGTACCGTACGCGGACCAATAATATTGTAGCACATGGAAATAATTAAAATATATATGAATTTTAATGTTCATGTGGCATTGTTTGATTTGCCTACGTAAAAAATGTACCGTACATGCGAAATTTAGAGATGCACCATAGAATTTTCCAAATTAATATTCTTTTGTGTTATTATCTATTTATCTTAAACGAGAGCTAATACCCAATACAATATTGACCCGTTTAATTAACCATGACGTAGATTATGGAAATCGTGATCTATACCTAATTATGGCTGATCTATGTGTTGTTGGGTACTTGGGTTCCTCTTTAAATGCTCACGAGATGTGTTTTAGACTATGATGACTACATAACATAATACAGTTTCAACTTTTCAACACTTACTAATCTGATAATGAAAAGTTTTAATTTTGTTTCAACTTTTCATGAAGAGTGATTTTGTATTCGAAATTATACGAAAAATGTTTAGAAGTGGCTGGTGGTGTTACAAAAAAAGAAATTTAAGAAAGTTAAAATATGTTGATGATTAAAGTGGCTATAATATATTTTTATATAGTCACTATGATATAAAATTTGAACAAAATTATAATCAAAGTTATTATGTCAAATTTTTATCCACTATTCTTATTTTGATCATATATTAGTTATTATTTCCAAATGGTGTTAAACAACTGTATTTAACCGTTTGAAACTAAAGTTAAGTTTTGAGTTCATACAGTTTTTCGATTTTCATGTTTTAGGTTTAAACAATTTGATACTACAAGGGATAAGGGTCAAATATTGGATAAAAACACTATTTTCTGTTTAAATGAATGTAAGTACTCAAGGAGTAACTATATACTCGCATACAATAAATATTTTCACTTCAATATATGCCGATTTATTGAAAGAAATAAAGATATTTTTAATGTAATGCGAAGTAGATGCTAATAACTTTTTGATGTGATACAGAAAAGTGATGATTTTTTTCTTATACTCCTATAACATAATGATACATTCAATATATGCCGATTTATTGAAAAAAATAAAGATATTTTTAATGTAATACGAAGTAGATGCTAATAACTTTTTGATGTGATACAGAAAAGTGATGATTTTTCTTATGTGTAATTTATAGTAATGCTTTATGTCACTCATATTTAAAATGACCAAATATGCTCAATTATGAAAAAATATATACTTAAAATACTACTGCGTATGTAAGTAGTATATTTTATTAATAAAATAAATAAAAACATTATATGAAACTAGCTCGATCAAATAGTCATCTTAATTGAACCCAGCAAGAAAGTAACTCCAAAGATAGTTATCTTGACTATTAGACAATTTAGCGCGTGAAATAAAAATATACATATTTGATCAAAAAGTTGATTGATAAGACTATTAAGTCGAAAGTAAAGATTACCAAAGGGGCCTTTATTAATGTTATAAATGAGAATGACCTTTTTATTCAAACCAATAAGTGTGTATACATGGATGGTACTAGAATGAAATCATCTTAAATTGAGAATTAATCGATGATAAAAACTTTTAATATAAATTTTTCAATTATTTATTAGTATACACATGCATATATAATGTCTTTTTGTAAGGACTCAAAATTAAAACTGATTTTTATTGTAATTATTTTAATGTAATTACAAAAATATCAGCTATTTTATTATTCTAGTCATTGATTAGAAATATGAAAAAATGTAGATTCAAAATTTTCATTAATTAATAAATGGGTTCCCATTTTAAATGGATTCTAACTACAACTAGAACTAGAATTAGAATTAGAACTATATATGCTCATTCCCCATATATATAAATGTATACTGGTAACTCCATCTCACGCTTTCGGTCTGTCGTAGATCGCTAATCAACTCTAGTAGATTAGACCGTCTGCTAGCCTAAATTGTTCTTTCCCTGAAAGGAAAAGAACCAACAAAAGAAGGCGATAATTGACCGGAGCGAAGTGAGACTGAAGAGAAGGTGAACGATACTCACGAATCCTTTAGGCTTTATGTTATGTTTATCCTTTTTTGGTTTCTAATATCTTAATCCAAGTTTGCTGATATTTCTTATTCAATCATTTTTTACACCGGTACCTTTCATTTTTTATGAATTGACTTGGTATATACAGACAAAATAGGAGCATCTACAAAAATGTGTACACATAGCACGTAAATGGGATTTTTCGTTTTTATGTCCCGATATTTTCCCCTTCTTTTAAATCTTAGTTAGATATTGAATTATTTTCTTGTAAAATAGCTAAGGATACGTTTGACACAAGTAGTTGAAAAGATACTTTCAACTGATATTTTTTATTGACTGAAAAGATCTTGAAGAGAAAAAGTTTGTAGTTGTTTGATAAAAGACACACCGTTCGATTTAGTTCTGTGTGATGTACCAACGTGTTATGACTAAGTAATGCTAAATGCTATAAATTTTATATGAGAAACTACTCAGTGTAGCTTTAAACTGTATTTTAACGCAAAACCCCCTCTTTCAACCCAAAATCGATCTATGCTCGTCTTACTCTATACAAACCAATCCCAAACACTTCCTAAATCAATTCAAGCTCAAATTAAACACATCTCTTCATCAAGGATCATTAATTGGTAAGATTTTACACCGGATTTCTTCTATATTTGATCTATGGTTCTTGTTTTTGGATTAGACTAGGGTTGATTGATTTTATGTTAATTCTAGGAAAATTAATGGATTTTCTTAATAATAAGGTTGTTATGGAGTTGTTGTCCATCCTTGACTAAAAACCCTTGTGAAATTTGAGTATTCGATTACCCCGAAATTATACCCAATTCGAGATAAGAAAAGGTACTTGTGGTTGGACCCGTTTTCAGATAGGGTCATGTGTTTCATTTATTATCAAAGTGCTTCATGTGTTTGAATTCCGTTATCACGACAGGGTCCTGACACCTGACGTCGTTAAAAATAGCCGGAGGAAGATGGTGAACAGTAACTCCAATTTTCAAAAGTGTCCGAAAAATTAAAAGAAAATACTGGGAGGTGAACCTCAACAAGACAACCGCTAGGCCATCTTTCTTTTTTGTTTTCAGCCACCCTTGTCACCGAAAAGTCCACTGAAAAAGTGATATAAGCAAATTTATTTTTAAAAAATAATCCAAACAAATCCGAAAAATCGAAAGGCAAATGTGGTTTGGAGGTCATCTTGACGAGGCACACCTTCTGGTATTTTTCTTTTAATTTTCCGGAAGTTTTTGGAAATCGGAGTTACTATTAACCGTCTTCCTCAGGCATTTTAACGGCGTGACCCTCCTTTGATAACGGAATTCAAACAAATGAACCACTTTGATAAAAAATGAAACACATGATCCTATCCGAAAACGAGCTCAACCACAAGTATCTTTTCCGTACTTTTCCTTAAAACACTCTTTAAAATTGTTGAGCCAAACATACAACTAGATGTTTTTAGAACCTTTTTAAATAGTACAAAACCAGCTAGAAGATAATGACTTATACCTATCAAACATTTTCATTCATATTCTTTTTTTGCTCTTCTAGTTTTTTATTGAACTCGATCATGTCGATCTTTGTTTTTATTTATTTAATGTTGGGTTTTATTTAACGTTTTTTTCTTCAGAATGTTGTTGTTTAATTAAACATTTGATTGAATAGTTATTTACGTTTCTTATATAGTTATATACTAGTAATACGTCGTAATTGTTATACCAATAATATTCACTCTTGTAATAATTGTTATACTACAAATTAATGGTGCAACTGTTTACTATTTATAATATAAAATCTCACCGAAAGTCCAACTGTTTCGTTTATACAAGTTATGATATGCATTTTGAAACCATAATTCAGCTATACATATGTTTAAGTAAAGATTCACTACAAAAAATAAAGGGATTGACATGAATTTGACATGAATTAATCAACGATTTCATGTCAAATAACTCGTGATAAAATGCCGTTTGCACGGATTTGGCGTATTCTTGCAAAATCCTCTATGCCAAAGATCTCTGCCAATTTAGTTATTTTTTTTGTGATTTATGAAGACAGTTTGAACACCTATGAAAGACAAGAAAGTAGAGGACGAGGAAATATAGATCCAAATATACATTTGAAGGTAGAAATAGATGCTTTGCTATAAGTTACATAAGATTTAATACATTTGTTTAAATGATGCTGATGGATAGTGTACCCGGGGTAGCTTATTCGAGGGGTTATTACGGGGAGTAATAAGAGAGAAGTTAGAGCAAGTAAATGTAGAGAGAGAAAGTATATTATAAGTGTGGAGCGTTTTCAGCGTGGTTACAAATGGGGAAATGGGCTGCTATTTATAGTAGCAATAAATGTCGGACGGGGACACGTGTCAAGCGCCCATTGGCCGAGAGGTCACCTCAATTGGTTGGCGCTGGCAGTCGCATGTGGCCGCATTTAATGCGGTTGTTGGATGGGACGTTGTACAGGGTACGGTGATCTGTACGCATGTGGCGCGGATATTATGTCGGGAGAGGTGCCCTCGGCTGCAGAGGACTAGCCGAGGGCTCTTAGTGCCGAGGACCCTGAGTGTCGAGGGCTCCAGGTGCTGAGGGCTGCTGTTTTCGCCGTTTTCTCCCAGTTCCTCTGTCTGTTCGAACTATCCATGCTGTGATAGTTTGGAGCCCTCGGTCAGGGGGGCGAGGGCACCCCAATGTGCCTTGAGGGTTGATTTTGCGTGGGGCGTTATAATTCTGGGCCTGCAATGCTTCTTGGGCTTGTTGGGCCTTTGTTGGAGTAGTGGGAGTCTGTGGGTCGGGGGTTCCCGGGCCATATACTCCATCAGGAGTCCCGCACTCCTTTTGCCGAAAGGTACTTGAGGGAAAAGGAGTAAACTGTGTCTGCCATTTGATGTTGCTCCGTTGTAGTTTGGTGAGGAGTTTGTTGTTTGCGTGTCCCTGCCGAAGGCAGTCCCTCAGTTACCCACATGTCGGGACTTGAGGGCTTGCTTTGCCGTTTTGTTGGAATTTTTCACCAATTTTGTAATTTAATGATTTTCCCGAGGGGGTCCTCCAGTCCCCCACTCCTTGAGGCACTTGTAAAGTGGTGAAAAGGAGTAGAGTAGTTGCGTTGCTGTTGCGGGCCGAAGGCTGACGCTTTTCGTTTCATTTTGGGGGGATGTCTCGTTAAAAACCTCATTAGGAAAAACCCTGGGGGAAAAAATCCTAATGAGAGAAAAAGAGTGCACCGAATTCCCCCAACGATGAATCGAAAATATGAAACCTCGGTCAAAAATGGAGAATAACGGTAATGCCGAAGGCTCTCCTTTTTCTGAGGGCTCATGTGTTGATCAGCCGAAGGCTTGCTGTTGATTTCTCGGGGGTGCCGAAGGGGAGCCCCTCAATCTGGGGATCGAGGGCGCGATGGATGAGGGCAGTAGTTGAATTGTCACCGGGGGGTCCCCTGCTTGTTGATCAGTTGGTGATGGGGATATCCGGGGCTCCCATTACCTGTGTGCCGTAGGCTATTCGTCAATGAGGCAACTCCCCGGGGGCTACCCGGTCCTTACAGTGCTGAGGGGGAATCCCCGAGGGGTGGCCTGATATGAAGCCTTGGGTTTCTGAAGGAGTGATGTCGAAGGCGTCTGTTATGCACTGTGTGGGGCACAAACCGGGGGCGTCTCTGGGTAAGTGTACCCGGAGGCTCTCCTTGATGAAGTGGAGTGATGTAAGAAAATCCGGGGGCTCCCAGAATATAGCCGTTGGAAATATAGCCGTTGGAATATGTAACGTCAGGTTATAGCCGTTGGGGGGGGGGTACACGTGGAGTGTAGCCGTTGGCTGCTCGTGGGTGGGCGTCACCGGTTGGGTGAAACGACGGTGCGTAATGATGGCTTTGGCCGCTGGGAGCCCGGATCTCGGCCCAAGCCCGGATCTGGGAGCCTATAAATACCCCAAGCCAATGCCATTCCTTCTCTACGCATCCAACATCCTTAGCGAAGCTCTGCCAAAATTTCTAGAGAGAGAAACTCAAGCCTTCGGTCGAATCCGCTGCTTTCAAAGGTCAGTCCCTCCTTCTTCAAAGTTCTTAGTAAGTCTCTTCCTGTGGTCTTAGATTAGGCGCTAGAGCCCGTAGAAAGCTTTCGAAATCTTAGGCACATTTCGTGATAAAAAATGTCGTCCGAGAGCGATTCCCAAAACATGTCGAGGGACCCTTCGGCTGATGAGGAGCACGTTTCTGATGCGGAGTCCGTGAGCGAGCCCTCGGTTGGTGCTGATGCCGCCCTGGCCCGGGAGGTCCAGAAGGAACTTATTGCTGAGGTCGAAGCCGAGGGCTTCGAGCAGGAGTGCGAGGATGAAGACCTAGCCCTCGCATGGCAAGTAGCGGAGGATGAGGCGCAAAATGAGAGCACGAAGGTTACAGTTGATGTTCTCCCCCCCCCCCCCCCCCCCCCCCGGGGTTCTGGGGAAGCAAGTAGCTCGAGGCCGCTAGATCCGACACCTCTGAGGGCGGTCTCCGGGTTGAAGAAGAAGAAGGCGAAGGCCGCTACCAAAAAGAAGGAGAGGGTTGTTGATCAAGGAAAGCCAGTGGACATGCCCGAGGGGTACAGTTGGTTGAACACTGAGGCCCTCGAGATTAAGTCGAAAGCCGATAGGGCAGATCTGTACGTTACCCAGCTGCACGTGGGGCCCTCGGCCGAAGTGGTGGAGCCGGGTCCTCACGACGTGTTGTCCAGGGCGCCCGAGGGGTGTATCGCCATCCACATCCTCTCGGTTTCTATGGGACTTAGGTTCCCTCTGCACCCGTTCCTTCGGGAGTACCTGAGGTTTGTTGGTTTGGTCCCCTGCCAGCTTACGCCCAACAGCCACTCCTACATTGCGGGGTTCCTCCAGCTCTGCAAGTCCCGAGGGGTGAAGCCCAGCCTGGATCTATTCTTCCAGAGCTTTAATCTGTGCCGAGGGGGGCACGAGAACGGCGAGGGATACGCGAATCTGCAGCAGATCGCCCGTTTCAAACTATTCTCCGATGCCCCTTCTTCAAACAAAGGGTGGAGGGAACGTTGGTGCTATGTGAAGTTGGGCGAGAACCCATTCCCGAGGGAACTGCGCGATCGATTCCGAAGGCACGAAAAGATCAGGAGTGCTGCCCTCGAGAAAGACGGCCTAAAGCTCGCCAAGTTCCCAGAGGGGAAGAATAAGAATGTGGCGATCAAAGATTGCACCCTTGAGGAAGACTTATACACCCTCGGGTTCCGAAGGTACCGCTTCATTGGGGAGACCGACGAGAAGTATCCTCTCTTCAACAAGGCCTTCGGAGGAGCCGGAGGTAGGAGCTGAGGGCTTTAGATTTTTGTACTTAGTTTTTTTTTTGTTTTGCTTGGATGTCATTGTCCCTTCGCTGTAGACCCGTCGGTCTAATCCTTTGTCGTATTTTTGCAGGTATCCCTGTGTCCATGGTGAACGTGAAGGGCCTTGCGCGTCTGAAGAAACAGGACCCGAAGGGGTCGGGACAGGGCAACCAGAAGCCCGCCACTGTCCTCTTCAAGAAATCCGAGGGCGATGCCGCTGCCAGCAAGAGGAAGGCGGCGACCAAGGGGTCCCCCCCGGCTACCAAAAAGCCGAAGAAGGGGGATATCACCGATAAGGAGCCCCCGGTCGTGATTGTTGATGAGCACCCCGCCTCCGGGGTGCATGTGGAGAAGCCGTCGGGTGGAACGCCGGCGGGGGCAGAGGAGTTGCTGCCTGAGGTCCTCCATGTTTCTCTTCCGAGGGGGACATCTCTGGCCAGCGGCGCTGTTGACCCGGGGGCCATCTTGAGGGGCATAACCCCTGAGACGGATAGGGCTGCCCTCGGGGCTTATAATGATGCGACCCTCGAGGACCACATTCTCCGCTCCTCCCTCTCTGTAAGTGTTCACTCGGCTTTCTTCCTCTTTTCCTTTGATCATCCTGCGTGATTGCCGTTAACCGTTTTTGTTGTTGATCTGCAGGCTTGTCTAGCCCTCGGCAAACAGGCCCGGAGGCTTCAAGAATGGCGCCTCCATAAAGCGGAACAGGACGCCAAAATGAAGGAGTGTATCCTCAAAAACAAAGAGGCGGTGAAGCTGGGGGCCAGGCTAGAAGAGGAGCTTTGGCAAATGAAGCTAAAATTGGAGGCTGCAGAAAAGAGCAAGGCTAATGCCGAGGCCGCTGCTGAGGAGGCCAGGAGAGCTGCCAAAGAGGCCGAGGATTCCAAGGCGCTAGCCGTCGCCAAGGCTCAGGAGGAGGCCGTTGACGCCTTCGTCGCCGAGGGTTGGAGAGCCGAGGGACGCAAGGTGTGGGTGTCCTCGGTCGTGGAGGCCTGCGTTGATGAATGGGCCGAGGGCCCTGGGTGGGAATGGATGGACCGGAAGGGCAATGAATATTATGAGGCCGACGAATTCTTCACCCAGGCCCTCATCTATCGGAGGATGGCCCGGCACCTGAACATTGAGCCAAAGGACTTCGCCCCCTCGGCATATGGCCTTCCTCCCCTGCAGCCTGATGTCCGTGAATCCCTTCCCGAAGGTGTACAACGGCCCGATCTTGAGGACACAGAGCTGAAAAAGGAAGCCGAGGACGATGTTGTTGAGGCCGGAGCGGAGTTGTCGTCGAAGCCGGCTGCAGAGGATGCCCCGGGGAATGATGCTGTTGAGGTTGTTGAATGATTTTGTGCTTAGACATTTCTGAACAAACTCTTGTAATGAACATCATTGATCCTTCAGCTTCGGCCTGTTTGTAACAGTTACATTTACTCCTTTTTGTGGTGATTGATGGATGAGTGTTAGCCTTCGAGCCTTGTATATATACCTGACTTGTTTGCTTTAATTCATCCCTCCTTGAATGTATGCCGTTGTTTTTTTTTAGTGTATGCCTTCGCCCTTTTTGAATGTATGTCTAGGACTTAGAATATTTTCTAAGTGTTTGAATATGGTTGTAGCCTTCGGTAGTTGGGCACCCTTTGCTGGATATACAACCGAGGGCTCAGCAATAATTAGGACTTAGAAAATATTTCTAAGTGTAGCATACCATAGGGCCTTCGGGTGTTTGTAGTTCAATTGCTGTGTGAGGATTAGATTAAGAACCCAATCCTTAGGACTTAGAAAGATTTCTGAGTGTAGTGGGAAAAATATGTAGGACTTGGAAAATTTTCTAAGTGCTTGTTGTATCGCATAGCCTTCGGCTATCTTATTCCCTTAGCTGTAATATTGGTTGGGCCGGGGGCCCAATCTTTAGGACTTAGAATTTTTATTCTCAGTGCTGTTTCCTTGTGTCGCCTTCGGGTGATGGGTGCCCTCTGACTCTGCGTCACTTTTGCGAGATGCCCGGGGGCTACGCATTTAGGACTTAGAATATTTTCCAAGCGTAAATTGATGTTGAGCTTCCGGATGTAGATCCCTCCGGGTATATGAATAGGACCCTTCGGGTGATCGTGAGGCCCTTGTGTTTTTGACCGAGGGCCAAATATGTGGGACTTAGAAAAATCTCAAAGTGTGCCGTAGATGTTGAACCTTCGGTCAGTGAGGAGTCTGTCCGAGGGTCATATATTTTGAAATAAGCCCCCTCAGTTGGCCTTTGATGATTTGTAATAGATGCCTTCGGTTGTCGGGTGATATATTAGCCTCCGGTTGTTGTCATTTCCAAAAGTGTGGACTTAGGGAAAGTGTGGAATCCTGTTGTTGTAAAGAAAGCCGATGAGGAGTTGTGTGCCCTCGGCATACACTTGAAAAGTTGTAGAGTTTGACTTAGCCAGTTGTGTCCCTTGTCATGGGGTAGGGGCCCTCGGTATTAGTGCATAACAGATGCCCTCGGTATTTGTTTGAAGTACCGTTTAGTGGACTTTGGATAGTCCAGTCCCTTTGTATTGTTGAAGCCTTCGGGGCTTGTGTGACCGGAGGTGACCAAGCAGTGGACTTAGCCGTTTCTTGATGATATTTGTTTGAGTAGTATCCTTCGGGAAATAGGAGCCTTCAATTACCGGAGGTGTTCTCGTGGGGAGCCCTCGACATGTTGTGATCTGTTGGAGTGTACTCTTTGATTTCTCGCTGAGTCTACTCCCCTTCACCCCCTCTTTTTTTCCTTTTTTTTTGGTTGGTGGTGAAGGGAAGGCATCAAGAAACCTGGTTTCTTGGTAAGGCTGGGCCTATCAGGAGACCATCAGAATACACCAATGGCTCTCCTCCCTCGGGTTAACCTTCCGAGTTCCGAGGGGATCGAGGGTCGTTTCCTGGGTACAAGATATGATGGTCTGTAACCTGCCTCCCCTTGGGGGATGGCGCAGAAAGCGCCTCATTTTTGAAAGTCGTCCCCTCGGCGCTAGACATAGTCCATGGCCTGCCACACCCTTGGGGTGGTGGCGCGGGAAGCGTTTCGGTTTGGAAGTCGAATCCTGGGCATTTCTCGTGCCTGTCATACCCTTGGGGTGATGACGCGGAAAGCGTTCCGTTTTTGAAAGTCGAATCCTGGGCATTTCTCATGCCTTTCACACCCTGGGGGTAGTGACGCGGAAAGCGTTTCAAGGAAGGGTTTTCATTTGCACACTAGTTGCAAATGGCCGGGGGCACTACGTGCCGCCGGCACCGATGGTGGCGCCTTCGGTATATGCGTCCTCGTGGGGTACGGCTTTAGAAACAACACTTGGTGTTAGTTTCGATATGAACCCCTCGGTACTTGGTACCGAGGGGTCTTCTGTAGGAACACCTAGTGTTCTTCTTCTATTTGATGTTGATGGGTGAGTTGTGTACCCCCGGTACTTGGTACCGAGGGGTCTTCTGTAGGAACACTTGGTGTTCTTCTTTATGATGTTTGCGGGTGGAGATGTGTACCCCCGACACTGGGTGCCGGAGGGCCTTCGAAGGAAACGCTTGGCGTTTTCCAACAGGTGTTTGAAAGTTGACAGGAAGGCGTATCCCTGGCACTGGGTGCCGATGGGTCTTCTTTGAAACATTTGGCGTTTTCTTCGTTTTTTGATGTTGATGGTGGAGGTGTACCCTCGGCACTGGGTGCCGAAGGGAAATGAAACACTTGGTGTTTCTTGTCGTCGGTGATGGGAGTTCCCTCCCTCGGTACTTGGTACCGAGGGGTTTTGACTGAAAACACATGGTGTTTTCACTGTTGTCGCAGGTGTTGATGGTGTCCGCCCTCGGCACTTGGTGCCGGAGGGGGTTCTCCTCGTGGTGAGGCCTGGGGCCTGTAGTCAGTATGAGGACTTGGCCGCTCATAAGTGTTTTGTTCTTGATGTCTTGAATGTATCTTCATTCTTCAAAATTGGAGGCCTTGGGCCATAGGATAGTACATTCACTAGTTATGAGGGCTTGGCCGCTCTTACATTATTGATAAAATTTAACTAAGTGGTGTACATTCCAGTGCCTAGGGACCTCTTTCCCGTTGGGGCGTTTGAGCTTGTAAGTCCCAGGTTTGATGATGGCTGCTATGATGTAGGGGCCTTCGAATTTTGGTGCCATTTTTCCTCCCTCGGTTGGTTAGCTGGCTTCCCTCCTCCGGAGGACATAGTCCCCCACTTGAAATTCTCGGGTGCGAACCTTGGCGTCGATGTAGCCTTTGACTTGCCTGCGGTAGTTCTCTGCCCGGATGAAGGCTTGCTCCCGGCGTTCTGAAAGGAGGTGGAGGTCGAGGGCCATGTTGCTGTCGTTGACCTCGGGGTCATATTGGATCACCCTCCGGGTGGGAAGGGTGACTTCCGTAGGAGCTTTGGCTTCAAAACCGTAGCAGAGGGAGAAGGGTGTTTCACCTGTTGCTCGCTGAGGGGTGGTGCAGTAGGCCCAAAGGATGTTGTGGAGTTCTTCCACCCAGCCACCGCCCTCGGCCTCCAGCTTCTTTTTGAGGCCCTCAAGCAAGGTCCGGTTGGCGTTCTCTACTTGCCCGTTGCCTTGAGGGTAGGCAACGGAGGAGAAGGTGTGTTTGATGCCCCATGCCTCCAGAAGGGCACAGAAGGGGGCTGCCTCAAATTGTGTTCCATTGTCAGAGACGATCTGCTGGGGGATGCCAAATCTTGTGAGGATGTTCTTGAGGACGAAGTGACGGCACTTCGCCTCTGTGATGCTGGCGAGGGGCTCAGCCTTTACCCACTTGGTAAAGTAGTCGATGGCCACAATGATGTATCTGTTGTTGGAGGTACCCCTCGGCAGAGGGCCCACAAGGTCTATCCCCCATCGAGAAAAGGGGACAAATGTGCTGATGGGGGCATAGTTGACCGCTGGCATGTCGGGGGCTTTCTGGAAATGTTGGCATGCGGCGCACCTTCGGGCAAGGTCAGCACAATCTCTGTCCATGGTTGGCCAGAAGTAGCCCTGGAGAATGAGCCTTCGGGACATGGAGAAGGGTCCTTGGTGAGCTGAGCAAGTGCCACTGTGCACCTCCTCCATTGCGACCTCGGCTTCATCCTGATGAAGGCACCGAAGTAGCGTGCCGTTGTAAGACCGTTTGTAGAGCCTTCCGTCTTCGATGGTATAGCTAGGAGCCCTCAGTTTTGCTAGTTTAGCGCGGGTCTCGTTCTCGGGTAGCTGCCCTGTGGAGATGAAGGTGATGATATCCGAGATCCAGTCCTCTTGGCGTTGTTGTATGTTCATAACGGGGCTTGCATGGATACTTGAGAGACTGAGTTCCTCAATTTTGACAATTTTTGAGATGTGCTCGGGGGAGTCGGCCTAGAGCTTAGATAGTATGTCGGCCTTGGAGTTCTGAGCCCTCAGTATTTGAGTGAGAGCGTGTGCCTCAAATACCTTAAGCAACTCCTTGGCCGCTTCCCTGTACTGTTTCATTCTTCCCTCCTTGGCCTCATATTCCTCGGAGATTTGGCCAACGACCAACTTGGAGTCGCATTTGATGTGGATCTGCCGAGCCTTCATGTTGG